GGGTGCTTTTATATTCTGTTCAAGGAGTATAAATTCTTAGACTAAAATGATGAGAGAGAGGTAAAGTTAAACCAGTGACGCTGGAGATTCCGAAATGTACATATGTTCTGCACTATTTTGTGCATTACTGATTGTTTCTGTTTATTACGCACTTTTTAAAAAAATGGGTGTTGCAAAATAAATCTTGCTAAATAAAATAGTATTTCAACAGGTCTAGCTAGTTTATATATTCTTACACCATTGCTTATAGTATATGAATTTAGGCGTCTAAATTTGCTATATAAAAACAAAATGTTTTGCATGGTCTAATTAGTGTTTACATGAATTAGTAAGTTCGCAATTTGGAAAAATACAAAGCAAATTTTTCATTTTTTATCAACTTTATAAAAATATGCATGTAATCACAACTTGCAAATAGTTTAAAAAAAATATATTTTATAATATCAAAGGCAAAAAGAACCCAACAAATTCCTACATCAAACTCTGTAGTTTTGTACTGAGTGTCGACCTTTTTGCACAACTAGAAAATTCGGTTTCTAGTGGGTGTTTCGATTATTTCACCTTTTTAAAATATACAGTTTAATTGATTCCTTATGATTATAAAAGTTCTTTTTTTTAGGGTATATATTTGATAGTGGTGAAGAAATTAAGCATAAGTGAGAGAATCTTAACTTTTTAAGTGTCAGCATTTTGACCGAGGAATAAAAATATTTGGGTCCTTTCTTAGATTCTCTTAACGGCCCAACTCATGACCCAAGTAGCAACACTTTTCCTTATTTTCTTAATAACCAAGACATGTGTGCCGTTTCTCAATATCTCTACCCTTCTTCGTGCCGTTTTTAGATAAAAGATTTATTAAAATACTTTTGAGGATTTCCGAATTAATTTCGGGGTTTTTGAACCCGACGTGAATCGAACACGCAACCTTCTGATCTGGAGTCAGACGCGCTACCATTGCGCCACGGATCCTCACATCAATCTTTTACATTACAACGTATATAACCTATCATAAAAAGGTCGAATAAAATTGTCAAAACCTCATGGTGAGTCTTGTTTGGTCTTTCCTCAGCAATGAAATGGCATCCATTGATTCTCTCCAATTCTACTCTCTCTGTAATCTCCAGGTAAAATCGACCCATCTCTTCTCCATTCACACTCACCGATGCTGCGTTTTCTCTTTGAATTTCATTTTTTCCGGTGAATGAAATCTCAAATTTCGTGTCTTTTTGTTGTTGTTATTTATGGTACCCTAGTCGTCGTCGATTGGAAGAGTCAAGCTCCGGATTCCTTCAAGTTTTGTTGTTTTCAGAAGAAGACCTGAAAATCTGAACTGGGTTCGAGTCGAAACCCATCGAAGGTTTGTGTGCAAAGCGATTGGTGATGATTCCTCGACTCCAGATGAAGAAATTCAGAATACTCAGAATGATGATGATGTTGCTACGTCTCAGAGTAACATTCCCCGTCGTGGTTCGGAGGATTCGATTTCGAGATTTCGGAGTATGATTACTAACATTGCTCGTGACTCCGAGAGTTCGATTTGGAGATTCCGGAGTATGGTTACCACACTTCCTCCTGTCATCTTCGTGGTATGATTCTTCTCTCCTATCGCTTGAGTTTCTCAATTTCCAATGACTGGTTGAATGGGAAATGTTAGTTTCCTTAAGAACTATTTCTTTAGTTGGTTTATGATTTTGAGGTTTCAAGGGAAATGGTAGGGTTAGTTAGATAAACTTTCTATTTCACATGAATTTGGAATTTCATTTGAGTATATCAGAATGTTCTTTCTTTAGATGAAAAAGTGCTCAGGGAACAGCCTTTGGATCGGGATATGCATCGCAGCTACTGTTTTAGTCGCTGCTATTCGGGCTTATGTGATAAGAAAGTCGAGAGATAACCGTACTACTGGCTCTGTTGCTGATCTTGTGAGACGTGGCCAGCTGAGATCTGGTGATAGAAGAGGCATGTATGAAACTCTACACACTCTTTATCTTCTTGGATTCATGTTAGGTGGATGTGTGTTACCTTTGGTCTAACTTCTGATGGTGTTTATCATTTTCTCTATCAGCTCCAAATCTCTTAATTACGAGGATCCATTCAACAACCCGTTTGTTAAAGTTGGTAAAGGAAGCTCAACAGTAGAGATGTGCGGGAAAGTTTATCGGCTAGCTCCAGTCACACTTACGGAGAAAGAACAAACTATTCATCAGAAAAGAAGGTCAAGAGCTTACCAATGGAAAAGACCAACGGTTTTCCTCAAAGAAGGAGACTCAATACCGTCTGATGTTGATCCCGATACAGTCAGATGGATCCCCGCAAATCATCCGTTCGCAACCACGGTTAGCGATATCGATCAAGACCTTGCCCAGACCAATGTCTACCAGAAGCAAGGTGTTCCTTTCCGGATCCGAGCTGAGCATGAAGCTATGCAGAAAAAGCTCGAAGCTTTACAAAATGTAAGCTTTTTTTCGTTTCTTTCTATGTAGTCAACAAGTTCCGAGAATGATGATGGGTTGTTTCTTACAGGAGGAGAAATTGAACAATCTGGGTATTGATACTCAAAATGCCAGAGATTTTCAGAGGCCATACAAGTTCTCTGCCAAGCTCGATGACGATAGTATACAGAAGAATTCTCCGGAGAATCAGACAGGCAATTCATCAACCTCTGAGGAGGAGGAGACTCGCAAGTCCTGAGATGAACTAAGCTAATTGTAAATAGAGTTTCCCGTTGATGAGACTGTCCTATATCCTAGAGAATCACACTTGCGGTCCAAGAAACCAGAGACATTCTTTGTAGTAAACCTCCAAACCCTAAATTTGTGTTTTTTTTTTTTGCTTTACCATCAGAACTTTGAAGTAAGTCTGAGATAAAAGAAAGAGCGTCGGTCTTATCAGTATTTATTTGGTTAGATGAAGAAACTTTTTTGATGATTGTCAAAGAAAGAGAGAAAATTGAGTAATTATTAGATTGATTTCGATAACAAAAAAGGGGGGAAAAAAAAAGAAACAAAAACGGAATTAAGGTAACTCAGAAACCAAAAAAAAGGAGACGAAAAGAGAATCTTTTAAGTACACAGAGCAAAT